TTGCACAAAGACAGAAGTTTTAAAACCACTGGAATTAGACATTTAAAAATGTAGTCATTGAACATAATCTGTGTTTTGTTTTTGGGTGGATTTGGCTCCAAATTATAAATGCAAGCAGCGGCAAACATTAAGACTTTTTATAGAAGCCCCTGGGCTTGCTTCAGGCGCTCTCGCACTAAGCCAAGGATGTAGTTAGGGCATATCAAAGTAAATAATCACAAAAGGAGAACACTGACTGGTTTTATATATTCAAAGTTATTTAACAGGATAAAGCCCTTGAGATGCACCATCTCGTGTTCGAGGAGGTCCTAACATATATCTCAATCATAGCAACAGAAGCATCGTACATTGTGCAGTGACCCACAATGGGTCTTCCTCAGGGCGTTGCTGGAAAGACGAGTCAACCAGAGTGGAAAGTCATGATTCCTTATATAGACAATTAGTGGCCAGGCCAACTTACGCAAAATAAATATACCACAAGTAGGCTACGAGGAAAAGAAGTTTAAAGTCGCAGTAATATTAAAAGAAACTTACCTCAGCCAGTCGGCGTTCTCCTTTTGTGATTTTTTTACTTTGATATGCCCTCAACTAATAAGGTATTTTAACTGCATCCTTGGCTCAGTGCGAGTGTGCCTGAAGTAAGCCCAGGGGCTTCCCTTTTTCTCGAGTTGACTAATTTGACTTTAAGAGCACCTTGCATTCACCTGGAGTTTACTACTTTACTTTATAACCGTGAGCACCCGGTGAGTCTATTAAGACTTACTTCAGTGCAGACATTATAGATGTGCGTGTAAACAGTAGTTCTTCGCCTTCTTTACTATAATAACATTGCATAAATATGGAGCAAAGATCTCAAGAATAGTTTGGTATTAGTGTTTATTATTTTACAGAACAGTTTATTATTTTTACAGCAGTTACAGCACTGTGGTAAAAAGAGTTCAGAGTATGTAGGAAGCCAGTTTATATTTGTGACGTCTGAAATGCACTCATTCAACTTGAACAAGCCTGATTTTCCAACAAACATCATTTTGGACAACACACGCCTACACACACGTGAAAACAAGCTGCACACCGTGCAGAAATACCCACATTAATTCAACACATGCTGGCTCCCTCCAATGCAATCCCACCATCCCACCTCACTGATTACCACAGGAATGGAGAGAGAAGCTAGAGAGACATAAGCAAATACAGGCAGATAGCATCACTGTGCGCTCTGTAAAGCCATGAGGCATCAGGGCCTCATTCAATGTTCTTTTATTATCCGAGCCTGGAACAGAGCAGCAGGACGGCACAGTGACTAAACTGCTAGCGACAGAGCTCCCACCAAGGCCGGCAGGCAGCGGCCCTACGCAGAGTCACAGTGACACCTGGTGGTCACACCATACAGTGGCAGGGCTTTTATTTTTACCCTCATGTATCCGGGGAAAGTAGAAGGATGCCATCTTTCACGTTCATGCTTTCACACATTCACACAGCCATAGTCTGCTGCTGGAGCAAAGCAGCATGTTCAGACAGTCTGCAGTGTTCCTTTGGTCTCCTGACAACAGAAGGGAAAATATATGCTATATTTTTGCCCAAACAGAAAATCACTTGTTTATTTAGCATTTCAGCAACACAGTCTTCATCAGAGCATGATAAACTAACATTACATCAAAGATACATTTATAGTTTGGAAAACTGAGCAGTCTTAGCAACCTCGACATGATGGGGTCACCCGACCAGAACAAACAAATAGAATAGTAATATTGGACAAATGACTAAAATTTGATGGTATCAAATCAAGTTTAGTTATAAAGCACACTTAAAAGAACCGAGGATGACCAAGGTGCTTTACAGGTTTAAAGTACAACAACAAAACATTAATTACACAGTAATAGTACAGCAATAAAACATTATAACATCCAATAAATGATATAAATCGCATTTGGGGTAGTAACTTACTTAACTCGAAGGAAATGCCAAAGAAAAGAGATGTGTTTTTAACAATGATCTAAAGCGATTGAGAGTTGGGGGCGTTAGTGTGAACGCAAAGAAGCTCCGTTAGGTAAAGCAGAGCTAATCAATCCTGTACTGAACATGAAGCCAGTGGAGGGAGCGCAGCACAGGTGTGATGTGGTCCCTCTTTTTCTTTCCCGTCAGGTGGCGGGCAGCAGCGTTTAAATCTAAATCTTTAGGGAGGGAGACAGGCCTTTACCTTGGCTATAGTTCTCAACTAGAAGAAGTAAGATCTAACAGTGGCGCATATCTGTTTATCAAATTTAAACGCACTGTCCAATACAACACCAGGACTCCTCACGAAGTTAAAGGACGGCTTTTAAAACAATTAAAACGGCTCGGTTGAGGTTAGGGAAAGATCGCCATTACATATTTTACAAAGCCAACGTGGCATCTAATCTGAGTGTATACCCTTCCTTTTCCATGCCACACAAACGGCACTGAATGTTGGCATTAGATGCGTTTATGACATGCAGAATAATAATTATACCATTCGCTTTACCTGGCGATACTGAGACTACTGAGATTTGAGCAATTATGTTAAGTCTAATGTTTGAATTACGTCATTTTATTGGAAACTTATTTTCATAGTTTTGGTCGTCATCTCTGAAGGTGTTGATTGTATTTTGCTAACAGAAACAGAGGACGTGCAGGAGGTTCTGTTATAGTATCCACATGTACGTCATGTCTCACGGACCACTGCAGCCATGCCGATGCAAAAAGGATAAATTAAGTCCCCAGTTTAACCATTTTATCTAAAGGAAAACCCCTGAGAAACTGTGTTATAATATGATACAAGTATAAAAGCTCCAAGTTTCACTTTCAAAGGTGGTTTAAATAGCATAATTGTAAAAAGATAACAAAATAAGTTATTTTAGGGTTTAAATTAGTTTAGTTTCACTCTTTTCTACATAGCTGCGAACTCTAAATACATCTTGTGAATGCACATTAAAGCAGTGAAATCCCAACTCAGTCTCTGCTGTTTCCTGATATCTATTTTTACAAGGAGGCCTCTGAATATAATTTGCAGCATAACATTGCCATTGGCTCCATAAACCCTTTCACTAAAATGAAACAAAGTCAAAGTCATTTTAATCTCCATCAGAAAAAGACCTGTGTGTATGTGGAATGGAAGGAAGCAGAAAGACTGCGACAGACGGACGCACTGTGGGTTTATGTCTTGTGAAGGAGAGAAACATCCAGAGAAGAGAGACAGAAGTGAGGATTATGGACTTTATATTTAGTTAGTGAGACAGAGAACGAAAAAAATGACAGAGAAATATGAAGAGAAACAGCCAACCAAACAGAGAAAGTACAGATGAGTCACGGAGCCCCGAGACACAGTTATTGACAAGAAGAGATGGAGGGATAAAGAGAGATGGAGAGAAGGACCGGGAGATTGGACATGAAGAGGATCAGGAGAAGACTGCAAATGGAAAGCTGAAGCCCAGATATACAGCTCAGTGAGAAAAGACAGAGCAAGCGTCTGTCTGTCTGTCTGTCTGTCTGTCTGTCTGTCTGTCTGTCTGTCTGTCTGTCTGTCTGTCTGTCTGTCTGTCCGTCCGTCCGTCCGTCCGTCCGTCCGTCCACATACTTTTCTCTTATGTATGTTATTGTAAATGAAATGTCTTTGGGTTTTGGACTGTTGGACGAACAAAACGAAACATTTGAAGACGTCACTTTGGACCCTCCAGACTTGACACAGTAAACAATCAATTGATTTGAGTTAACCCTGGAAATTGAAGTTTCACAAAACAATCTTAAGTCAATGTCCACTTACTATCTGTTTCTGGATCGTCTAAACCACATCTCATGGTCTTCATCAACAATCTATTAATTGTATCTATTCAAGGCCGTTATTTCCACTGGGAGTTTGATTTACTCACCAAAATCTCTCTAAAGAGTGTCCTCTGACTGTGCAGCTGTAATAATCCACTTGAGAAAAGTGCGGCGTTTCTGATCATGACACTCATTTATGACACTTTCAGTTTCTTAAATTTTTTCTTCTCAACTTTATTGCATTCATAGCAATCAGATTAACAAGCTGGAGTTGGGAACTGTTCAGCCCTCTCAGGCTACATTTACACTGCTACGTTTTTGTTTTAAAAAGAAAACGTTCTCGCGTTTTAGTTGTGTTTCAGAGTCGATCTCCATCTATATTAAAACGAATGAAAACGCGCATCTAGTGGCCGTTCACAGGAAGCAGATTGTACTACTTCTCCCAAGTTGCAGAAGATTTGGCGAAAGGAGAAAGTTCTACTACAGACAAAGCGCCACGCCAAAACAAAAACTCACAAAAATGTGAATGTCTGCAGCCTCTGTTTTCGCCTGTCTGCACTCAAACGCAACCCCAGAGTTTTAAACCGAAAACGGGGTCAGCAGCGTTTTCAGACTTTGTTTTAGGTATTTGGATTCACTGTTTTAGTCTTGACGGGAGGTGCAAACGTAGCAAAAGGTCTGCGTCAGTCTTCAAACGGCTGCGCTACGCTCTGACAGCTGCAGACACTTTTCAGGGCTGAAAAACCTGAGTTAATATTCTCTTAAGAGAAGTTATAACTTCACATTAATTAAAGGTAAGGCAGTAAAGAACAGCGCTGCTTAAGATGCAAAGATGCAAATACAACATTATCTACCATTGAAACTAAATGTGATTTTTCAGGACAGAAAGTTCATTAAAGGACTAGTTGACTGCACAAAAAACAAAGATTCAAAACAAAATGTTCTGGGTTTCACGAGTGCAGTCTCTGCTGATTGTCTGGCAACCTCACGGTGACAAAAAGACTGCAGGAAGTTGCTGCGCCCAGCCATGGTCTGGCACATAACCCTGTAAACCAAACTGTTAATTAGTGATCTTTAGAGGCGCTGGTAGGTGGATTTTGTTGCCTTTGGACGGGCCAGGCCAGCTGTTTCCCCCTGTTTTCTATCCATTTATACAGCCCAGCTATCCTCTAATTCCATTTTCTTGTTGTGATTTTTTATTGTCGGTTATGTGTGTTTTTCAGATTTACTTATATTCAGCTTCACAGCGCTGGAGGGAGAAGAGGCGGCAGAGGTGAGAGATCAAACACACGCACACAGACACGCAGGTGAGAGGGTACGCACTCATTGTTCCACCAGAGAAGCTCCAACACAACATCTTGAGGGAGACAGATGTGGAAACATGCCAAGCATACTTTAACAGGGCAAGACGGAGAGATGAAAAGGAGGACGAGAGAGTGAATGAGGAAGAGATGGAAAGAGAGAGAGCAGCAGCCATTAGCTGGCCTGGAGTCTGTCTGCCTGTGAGTGCTCTGTAAATATCGCCTTGTCTTAGTAAACAACATTATTCCTCTTTATTGGGCCATTATATAATGCCCTGATCCCCCACAGGATGCAGATTGGTGTCGCTCCATTATGTAAGCTTTCTCTTCCGTTACGTAAGCATTCTCCTCCACTCCTCCAGCTTTCTTCTCCCTCTCTTCACTACTTCTCCATCACTTCCTCGTCACTCTCTCCTTAGATTTTTAACGCTCTTTTCAGTCTTTGCTTATTTGTTTTGCTTTCTCCTTCCTCTTCCTTTTGCCCCTTCTGTTCTGCAACCTTTCTCTCCTTTTCCCTCCTCCTCTTTTTCTCTTCTCTTCATGTATCTTCTATCCTTTCATGCTCCCCTCTGCTCTTATTTATTCTGTCATTGTGCTTTACTTACCCTAACCTTACGTTTCACTTCTCCTCTCTCCTCCCTTTGGTGCTTCTTTTTATTTTTTCTTCTTTATTTCTTTTCTTTTCTTTCCTCTCCTCCTCCACTTATCCTAACTTTTCTTTAACTTCTCTTATTCCACCATCTCCTTTTTATCTCTCCTCTTTTTGTCTGTGCTTTGTCTTGTCCTCTATTACTCTCCTTTTCTAATCTCATCTTTCTTTTCTCTTTTTCCTTTTTATCATCTCCTTTACTCCCCCCCCATCTTCTTTTCTCATGCATCATGTTTTGTTCTCCCTGTCTTCTCTTCCTTTTCCATCCCCTCTGTGGTTTCACCTTCTTTGGTCTTGTTTTACTTTCCCCTGTTCTTTTCTCCTTCTTCATTTATCTTCTTCTCTTTTGCCCTTTCATCTTTTCTAACTCCCTTCCTATTCCCTCGTCTTATTCATCCCCTACTCTTGTCTCATTTCTCCTCCTCATCTTCTCGCCTCCCTCAACCTTCCTTCTCCCCTCCGTCATCTCGTGAGCGTTGCTGATTTCAGACGGCTTCGTTACAGCAGCTCGACAGGCCAGTACTCATTTCTTTACTGCAGAGCAGACGAGCGAAACAAACCACCGAACAAGATCATATCCGCTGCTGCAGGAGACAGCTGAACAAAACCACACCTGGACTGTAGACCTTAATATTAAGAGCACTGTCTTTATTTTTCATTACAAATTTTTTTTAATTGCTCTTAATTTGCCAATTCAAGTTTAACTATGATGGTTACTTAGTGATATTCAAACCCAAGATGCCATGTTTTCTTTTTTTCTGCATCATTACATGTGAAGGACTTTTTTTGTGAATCATTTTGTATCTCCATTCTGAATATGTTCATGATTATACATTAAGTCAAATCAGTTTGCATTTAAATGATGCACAAATAAAAATATGTTAAATTTACTGTCTAAGGATAGAGGGTGCTGTACAAATTTTAAAGACCCTTGAGGCAAATTTTTGATATGTCTTATTGGGCTGTAAAATTTACTAGACTTTCCTTATTTTGTCTAAATTGATCATTCATTTGTGTATTTACTTATGTGGCCTTCCTGTCATATTCCATCTTACAATTCATTAGTTTACTGCTTAAATGTTTCATTACATGTTTGCTTTCATTTAAATAGATGTAGCAGCTGAGCTCTGATTAGAGAGTCTATAATCACTCTGGTGGCACATATTATTATTATATATTGCACAATCCCCACTTGTCATTTGTATATACACGCAGTTGTAGCACAGGTTGAAACCAATGTGATATATTTATTAAACAGATACATAACAGGTCAAACACTATGCAACAAATACATATTCATTGAGAATGTTGAGGAATGCACAGTGAAGTTAAAAGATATCTTATTTCCATTGTGGTCCTCTGTCCAGGAAAACATTTTAAATACTTTCCTTCCATGACATGTTAATGACTTCAGTTTCTATAAATCTCCACCTGGCCATAGTTCAGTTGCATTTACTGGACTTTGAGGGCCCCCTACTGGAAAACTTTTAGTTGAACTGCTTCATTTTCCTGCACATTTATAAAGTATCTCCCCATGCGCCACAGTACAGCTTTATCGTCTGTTTTATTTACCAGACAAAGAAGAGTGTTGTGATGCCATTTGTTTGCCCACAGTCTGTGTTTCAAGTCCAAGTACAAAAGAGTCTGTGGGTGTGAAGAGGGTAGTTTCCAAAGCAGAGTATAGGCAGGAAATGGGTTTCAAAGCCTGAAATCTCAGCTGTTGGCCAAGCAGTCAGTGAGTCATCAGTACTGAAAAACAACCTTATAGACCTCTGCAGATACTGGAGGGGTTTTTGTTTAATTTTGGACAAGGTGGGAGAGAATATCTGCAATATTTTTCTTTTTCCCAGAAATAAGCGAAACAGCTCCACAGGAGTCCACGAAAAACAAGTTTACTTCTGAGTAGAAAAGAGTGAGAAAAACAAAAAAAAAAGTGAACAGAACTTTTATCTACCGGTAGGATATTTTCATGATAAACTGTGAATTTTTTTAAATGGCATATGGTTTATTTTGGGCAAAGTATCAGAATAATCACTCAGTCAATCTGTTTCTCCTTCACTTGTCTTCTTCAGGTGTCCCAGTGGTTTGCATGGTGGCATCCTTCTATTGAGCCCCGCTGATCAGGTAATCATCCCAGTGACACACCCTCCCCACCAGAACTGATGTGAACATCCTTTGGGCAGCCAGAGGAGGATAAACAGCCTTCCTGTTGACATGCAAAAGTCTCCACAATGTTGGAAATCAGATATGGTGGCCGCAGGTCAGGCTCGGGGCTTTGGACCCTGCTCATGTTCGGTGCTTAACTGGGGCTTAAAACCTTGGATCACAGTGAACACGGCCTGGAATCGCTTCTTCTTTTCTGAAGGAAGTATCCAATGATCTGCTGGGGCTTTTAAAGGGTGTCGAGTGGATTTAGTCTCTGCATTTGACAGTTGGAATCCGTGCGGACACTAAATGCTGCTCTGGGAATATACTGAACGGATTACTGTTGATTTGGAAAAAAACGATTTAAAGACATTTTTTCCAGGATCTTCTCGGTTGAAGTTTGTCGATTGACGGTGGCACCGCTCTTCTCTTTCCCCAGCATACAGTCATATGCCAAAGGATTACTGCAGTATTTTGACCGCATTATTACAATATTGGGAGAAATGCAGACTTCCAAAAGCACAACTCTCTATTATCTCTTACGAGATACGATACGAGCACATTGTCAACGTCTTGTCTCAATGCATCAATAATAAACTGTCAAACTAAACGGTCAACTTATCTGGCACTTTAATAGTATGTTTTCATCTCATCTCTCTTCCTCTCCTTCTCGCTCTCTCTCTCTGTCTGTCTCTCTCTTTCTCTCTCATTCATTTTCATGAACAACTGAATAGTATACTCTCCAGTATTAGCAATCTCTCAACTCTTCTGGCTGCGAATGACTTCGATGATGTTGAAATAATCTGTGTCTGCGTCCATGGTGGATCGGTTCTCTATCTATGTCGGAGTATTAAAAAAAAAAACTTGGTGTCCCGAGAATGGAGCCGTGAGGAACACCAGCGAGGATTTATTCAAAGCCAAACTTAAAGCACACACGTCTGGCTCGACAATTGATGGTGAAAATGGTGAATTCTGATGTTCTGTTTGACACTGGAAAGCAACAGTACCTGTATGAAACAATGGTGAACTTGACCATAAGTGTTCCTAATACTAAAAGCTGGTACTCGAGATCGTTAAATGTATTAAGCGGTTTTAAAAGATGGCCAGCAGAACTTGCGCTGTCCCGTCCCCTCCCTCCCACTTTCTCCCCCTTTGCCGTTTGACAGTGTCTGTGTTTGTATGTGACATACACCTTACAGTCTTCAATGGTTTGATACCCATGATTTACTTTGAATATAACAAAACAAATGACCACAATAAGGAGAAAAAACACGCCAACATGCGAAATGGGGATTTTATGCTTTCATAGATACAATTATGTGGATTTATAATGAAATAAAAAGGTATTTTTCTTGGAGTGTACGTGTTGTTATTCAACAGATCTATGTGTTTCTTCTCTGACAGAAGCACTCTATTTCACGAGAGTGCTATTGCAGTCTGCTTGACTAGTAGCAACAACATCCAGTAGTGGAACAGGCCAGATTTTACTAAGGAAAGAAAACACTGGATCTTTTCACTCAACAGGAAATAATGTTATTTATTCAAATGCATTGTTTGATGAACAAATTAATAAAAAGTCTAACGTGGAGGAGGCCGTAGGAGGGCAACAACCCAGCAGCTGGCCCGTTACCTCCGCCTTTGTGCAAGGTGGAGCAGGAAGAGCACTGCCAGAGCCCTGCAAAATGACCTCCAGCAGGCCACAAATGTGCATGTGTCTGCTCATACGGTCAGAAACAGACTCCATGAGGGTATTATGAGGGCCCAACGTCCACAGGTGGGGGTTGTGCTTGCAGCCCAACACCGTGCAGGACGTTTGGCATTTGCCAGAGAACACCAAGATTGGTAAATTTGCCACTGGCGCCCTGTGCTCTTCACAGATGAAAGCAGGTTCACACTGAGCACGTGTGACAGACATGACATGAGTCTGGAGACGCCGTGGAGAACGTTCTGCTGCCTGCAACATCCTCCATTATGACCGGTTTGGCGGTGGGTCAGTAATGGTGTGGGGTGGCGTTTCTTTGGGGGGCCGCACAGCCCTCCATGTGCTCGCCAGAGGTAGCCTGACTGCCATTAGGTACCGAGATGAGATCCTCAGACCCCTTGTGAGACCATATGCTGGTGCGGTTGGTCCTGGGTTCCTCCTAATACAAGACAATGCTAGACCTCGTGTGGCTGGAGTGTGTCAGCAGTTCCTGCAAGAGGAAGGCATTGATGCTATGGACCGGCCCGCCCGTTCCCCAGACCTGAATCCAATTGAGCACATCTGGGACATCATGTCTCGCTCCATCCACCAACGCCACGTTGCACCACAGACTGTCCAGGAGTTGGCTGCTTGGATGCTTTAGTCCAGGTCTGGAGACTATCCGCCACCTCATCAGGAGCATGCCCAGGCGTTGTAGGGAGGTCATACAGGCACGTGGAGGCCACACACACTACTGAGCCTCATTTTGACTTGTTTTAAGGACATTACATCAAAGTTGGATCGGCCTGTAGTGTGGTTTTCCACTTTGATTTGGAGTGTGACTCCAAATCCAGACCTCCATGGGTTGATAAATTTAATTTCCATTAATAATTTTTGTGTGATTTTGTTGTCAGCACATTCAACTATGTAAAGAAAGGAGTATTTAGTGAGATTATTTCATTCATTCAGATATAGGATGTGTTATTTTAGTGTTTCCTTTATTTTTTTGAGCAGTGTATATCTTCTTCTTCTTCTTCTTAAAAGTACTAGTAAGTAAACAAAAAGTAACAGTATTTAAAACTTTAAATACACAGGAAATTTCTGAGTGTGTGACCCATCTATCCACCCAATCCACCTCCACAAATGACTTATAAGATTGTTTTTCTGGTGAGGGTGTAAGTATCATGTTGACTTAAGTGTTTGTTCAAAAAACACTGGTTAATCTAAAAACATCACTGAGATTGCCGTGACCTTTTGCGATACCTAAAAGCCACAGAGGGGCTGTTAATCTATAAAATGCACCGTTTGTAACCCTAGATAAAGGCCGACTTAATATACAGTGATATACATGTCCATTGTAAGTGCAAAACTGAGAAAACAAAGGTGCATGGCACAAGCACAGTCAAAACGTGTATGCTTCTCACACAAAGCAGCAGCACTGATCTTGATCCCGTTACACTCCTTAAGTACATCTCTGTCACACAATTATACATACATAGAACTGAAGATGGTTATTTCTATGTGTGTACAGATTAAACTAATGGGATAGGTGTGATAGGTGTATTTTTTGCTACCTGTTTCCCCCTGCTTCCAGTCTGTATTCTGAGCCAACCGTATCACCCCTGACTCCAGCTCTGTTCTCAACATACAGATATGAGTGTGTTGATATTCTCCTCTCACTCTGGGATAGAAAGCAGAGAAGCATATTTCCCAAAATGTTCTATTCTTTTATATCACCATTCTTCTCAGATGACCTTGTGAAAGTCAGACATGCGCCACAAAATGTTTAAAATCAGTCGTGATTCGGGCTGAATGATTAATTGCATTTGCGATATTGTGATAAAACGAGATTTTCTCGCAAAGGCTGCTATCACACTGTGGTCACATGACACCCAAGTGTAAAGCAGTCTGCAGATGAAGCATCGACTTTGCACGTTACGCTGCACCTTGACTTGTTGTTGTACAACGGCCTTAAGCTTGACAGAAGCTGAAACTACAGAAACTTTAGTGTCACACAAGGAATGAAAGAATTACCCACCACCTGCTGGTAACTTCGGACTTGTGAGTTTCAAACCAAACTCACAAGTCCGAAAGAGGCTCAGTCTGCCGGGTTACAGCCAGTGTGCTGCTCACCAGCATCGGGGGCTGCGGGGGTGGGGGTCTCCGGTGTTGTCGGAGAATTACTAAGTTTGTCTATTAAACACGAGAGGCGTCACCTCAAACTGAGTGTTTTTTATTTGCTCAGTGGGATACAGAAAAATGGATTGCTAGGAGATTTGAACTGAGATAAGGACTCATTAATTGGTGGTTGAACGGTGGGTTTTGTATTGAGCGCTTACTGTATAACACACTGTGGTGAACTTTGTTTTTCTTGTCGTCTGTAGGTAGGGCGACCTGATGATGATATTATATCATATTATCAAATTATCTTTCTCATATTATCAAAATTTGATATTTCTTCTCCACCAGTGCTCATAATAATAATTTATGCAATTCATGCATTCATGCTAATTTCATCATAACACAGGCCTGATCTACTAAAAAGAACAGCGTATGTTTAATCTATCTAATATTGTGTTTGTTATAGCGTACACTGATTTATTGCTTGTCTGTTCTGAAGAATACAGATGGTAAAGAGCTTAAAATTTATCTCATATTAAATCGCAATCACAATATTGGTAAAAAAATTTAAAAAATCGCTATGCATGATTATTTTCCAAAATCGTTCAGCCCTAGTCGTCGTGACGACTCATTGGAACAAATGATCACATCTGGATCAACCTCTTTAGGCACGTGCATGTCTGAATAGAAACATGTATTCTTATGTACCGATCAAAAACTTGTATTTGTATTATGACGTCTCGTTGACAGTCCATTTTCACTGCCATGTTTGAGTGCATTGACAAACAGTTTCTGTGTTGTTCTTTAAACAACTGATTGTGATTGTCAGTTTTATATACAGAAGCTGAATTCCCTGTCATGGTTAGACGTGTTGGATGTTTTCAGATTGCACGAATTGCTGCTTCCATTACCCAGAAGAGAACTTGTAATGATGACAGGCAGCGCTGCGTGTCATTGTCACCCTTCACAAACCTCTCTAAAACGTCAGCCTGTCAAGACTAAGAAAGGCGACAGGCATTTTTGATGTTTTACAAAGGATTTCCGATGTTTGGCTCAATCCCTGGGTAATATTGGACTTTTGTGGCTCAATATGGCTTTAAATAGTTCAGTTGGCACTTTCACCTGACATCAACTGTTGAGATCCAAGGTTGTAGGAGAACCCTGATGACACTCTCAATTTAGCAAACAGTGAAGTGACAAGGAAGTGTCTTAGCAAACGCATTATGATTTGACACTGTGTGTCTCAGAATCAGAATCAGAGGGAGCTTTATTGCCAAGTAGTGTTTTACACATACAAGGAATTTGCTTCGGTGTTAAGGTGCTACACGCAGACAGACATACAGCTGACATAAATAGATGTAGAAATATAGAAATATGTAATAAAGAAATGTAAGTTATATAAGAATAACAGAAGAATAGAGAAACATAATACAACTGCCAAATAATACTAAAAATAAAAATAACAAGGGAACAAGAACAATTTACAATTAACAACAAATATGTGCAATGTGCCAGGTTCATGCATGATATGACATGAAGTGATGTTTACATGTGCAGAGACGATTGTATTATTTGAAGTGGGGGGGGTGTCAGTGGGGGGCCCGGGTCTTGTTGATGAGGCTGCAGACGGGAGGAAACTGTTTTTGTGGCGAGAAGTTTTGGTCCTGATGGACCGCAGCCTCCTGCCAGAGGGGAGAGTCTGAAATAGTTTGTGTCCGGGGTGGGAGGAGTCAGCTGCAATCTTTCCTGCACGCCTCAGAGTCCTGGAGGAGTACAGGTCCTGAAGAGACGGAAGATTGCAGCCAATCACCTTCTCTGCAGAGCGAATGATGCACTGCAGCCTGCCCTTGTCCCTGGCAGTGGCAGCAGCGTACCAGATGGTGATGGAGGAGGTGAGGATGGACTCAATGATGGCGGTGTAGAAGTGCACCATCATTGTCTTTGGTAGGCTGAACTTCTTCAGCTGCCGCAGGAAGTTCATCCTCTGCTGGGCCTTCTTGATGAGGGAGGTGATGTTCAGCTCCCACTTGAGGTCCTGGGAGATGATGGTGCCCAGGAAGCGGAAGGAGTCCACAGTGGTGATTGAGGAGTCACTCAGGATGATGGGGGAGGGTGGGGCTGGGCTCCACGACCATCTCCACTGTCTTCAGAGCGTTGAGCTTCAGACTGTTCTGGCTGCACCAGGTCACCAGATTTTCCCACCTGTAGGTGGACTCATCCCCACCTGAGATGAGCCCAATGAGGGTGGTGTCATCCGCAAACTTCAGGAGCTTGACAGACTGGTGACTGGAGGTGCAGCTGTTGGTGTACAGGGAGAAGAGAAGGGGGGAAAGAATGCAGCCTTGAGGGGAACCGGTGCTGATGGTCCTGGAGTCAGAGATATCAGAATCAGAATAATACCGTTGTTTGTCTCAATTGTCAGGTGATGCCGTGGTTCACTTTCACTCTGTGAGGCTTTAGCTTCTATCTCTCTCGCTTCTATCAGTTTTACAGCCTAAATATAACCTTCAAATGCATAATGCAAACCATTCTGTCTCCTTCTCATGAGATCGCTT